AGTTACAGACACAGCATCTGCCTTTTAATATTTTCAAACTACGAAACTTAGAATTAATGTGTAAAATTATGAAGTATTTGTATATCATGTCAATGGAAAGCTTACTTCAATAGAAAAAATATTTTCATTTTGGTCTGTTTTTCATTTCAATTCACCACCAGGTCTCTCTGCACCCATGTAGAATTTTCTGACATTTTCTGATACGTTTGTCAATTGTTTATATCAGGAATGCACATATTAATGCAGTATAATAATGTGCACAGAAGGAAAGGATTGTAAGAACATTCAGACACAAGAAAAAATGACCTGCTAACTCTACTACATTAACTGCTAGTATAATCTCTAAATATTTGCATATGTTCAGATTGATTCTAATAATACTTGTATCACAGCAGGTTTACACAATGTGTACAGAAACCATCAAACTGAATTTCTGCTTCTAAAATCATTATGCACAATTACAAATCCTTAGGTTGCATTCTTAGATTTTTACATTAAACAAATGCAGGCTACAGATATGTCAATAGTTCATTGAGCACAATTACGTAGTGAATATCTTAAGGTTTCACAATGAATTCTTCTCAGACGAGAGGTACTTTGTAGACTGTTTTATTTAGGTTTGTCAAATGAAACCAGACAAGGTATTACATCCAATAAGGCATACCCGTCAGCAAAATTAAAAAACTGATTAACAATGACTTAACAAATGTCGTTACTCCCTTAACCCGAGAAACACTGGTGGCTTGGAGGTGCACTGGGAGGGCATCAAGTACCCAACTGCACGCATTGAAGATCCATAGGATTGCGACCTAGTTTCAGAATAAAAAACGTACAAGTTAAGGTACAGACGCGCGCCATAAATATCCCCCAGTAATAGTTTTCACTTTGCACAATACATTCTCCATGCAGTCTGAAGGCACTTATCCTAAAGAAAAAAAGTGTCCCGTTAACAAATATTTAAATACCAAAGACACTTTGTACACCTACACAGTGCCTAAAGCAATTTAAACATCAGATACACAGTACTAGTTTTCAGCATTAATCACTAGATGCAGATAATACAACTGCTTCTGCAAACATGCCAGTGTACCTGTACCATCAGCTGACACATTTACCTGGAGACCACACCAGATGCCAAAGGCAGATCTGAATTCGCACACTCCCGTGAGTTGAGGATTTTAAGGTCTGCAGGATGCAAGACTCGGGAAAGTGCGCCCTCTGACGACAGACCGCAGATTCATTGCTGCGAGACAAGGAAATTCCATTAATAATGACTTTTTTTTTAAAGCGGAACCAGTCAGCACAAAACGATCAAATCTGTGAAGGAGAAACAAATTTCAAATTTACTGAACAGTTTCCATTTGTGTCATTTTGTGGCACACCGACTCCCAAGACACCCCTTATTTACATTTCAGAACAAAGATTAAACACAACATACATAATCCTTCTCACAAATTTAAGTTACAACAAAACTTACTCCGTACATTCTCCTTACTATACACGGCAAAAAGGTCGTTTCTGTAAGCTTTTCGACAGGCATCTAAAGCCCTCTTTGGCTTTTTTCAATTGCAGCTTTCCCTCCCCCCACACAGTCAAACCGATTCCTGGCAGGACATAAACATGTTCTCAAAGTCTCTCTGTTGAAATTCAAAGGAATCCTCAAATTCATAGTCCAGGGAAGAATAAACGATTTGTGGTGTCGTCTCACTGTACAGCAGCTCTGGTTGCCTGTGGCTAGAAACATCAATTGCGTCATCCAGGTTTCTTTTAGTATCGCTTTTCGAGTCTGACATTGTGTCGCTCACCAGGTCCTCATACTCAATGTGCATCAAATACTGTGTAGTATTTTCGGGGGCGCCCATTCTGGCAGGAACCTCGCCATTGCCAAGAGCAGGCCTCGGCCTATAGGCGATTTCGCAGGGGTCTAGTATAACACGGTTCTGACACCTGTGACTTCTACAGCCCCGTCCACACCGGCCTCGCCTTCGGTACTTCCTGGCAGCAAGCTTCGCCAAGTCACTCGTCCACTTCTTCAAACGTTTCTCGCCATCATCGCGGAAACAGCTCCCCTGCTTCCATCTTAGAAGCCTCTTTCTCCGACAAGTGACACTTTCGATCTCCCTTTGTGTCTCCATGATGTCGATGCACATTATATTACGAAACAGACTGTTCATAAAAGACTTTTAGCCTCTTTTCAAATCGTCAAATATCGATAACGGAAGGCGTCCTCCGTTAAAACCGAAACAGCTGCACCAGTCACACAACGTTACTCAAACAGAATCGCCAATACAGTTTACGTTGTGAGCAGATTCGTACAAGTACAAATTGAATCCTTAAGGAAAATTAACAGAAGAGACAGTACCTGCAATCGCAAAAAGCGCGACACCTCCCAAGAAAGCGCTCAAGTTGTGACAGACTCACAGAACCGCCGCAACCAGAATGAGAGTCCCCGAATCTCAAAACGTGACTATTTCCAAGGCAACAGCCAATCAGACACCGACTTGTAAGTCTTTGTGACGCTTTCCGGTCCTCCAGAATCCGGATGTAATGAGAGTCATTAACACATGTTACCGTAAATCTTGGTAAAAAGAAAAGATACAGTTTTAGTGGAGAGTCTGTGATGCTATAAGAGGTCAGAAAGCTGGAATTTTAAAATAATTAATCATTGATAGATAGAAAGAGTAAATTCAATAGATATATTTTTTCTAATAACGTCTAGAAAAATAAATCTATTTTTTAAAGACCATCTATTAGAAGAAAATGACAAACGGTCTCTGAGTGGACGTGATATGAACGTTTATGACGCTACGGCCGCCATTTTGGAGGAAGTTTAGAGGACATCTGAGACGTAAACGAAACGTTTTGTTGTCGTACCCGTAGATAAGCTGCTGTAATGTATTAGCAAAGGAACACACGTTAAAAAGTTTTCGTCTTGCACTGTTTTCTTTTACTTCTGGTAAACCAACCCTAAGTTGCGTTATTTTAACACAATATTTTCACAGTCGATTATTTACAATTACGTACTTAAATTCATTTCTTTTAAAAGCATTTCAATATACTATTTTGTCATAATGGTTATGATTTTACTTATTTACATGTATTTAACTGCATTTGTTTCTTATTTTTCAGCCTGAAATCCCTGAATGTTTTATAGAATAAAAAAATAGCCCCATTACTGTATGAATCACTAGTGCAGCACAGATCCGGTGACATGGCTTGTATACACCAGTAGAATATCAAGTGAATAAGTAATTGTTCCCGCAGTTAAATTAAAGAGAAGGCTACTGTTCACACACCGTGTCATTAAATGTTTACTTTTTAATGTATACAGGACCTGACTGGTTTTAACGTCCCATTGAAACGACTTATTACTGACAGCAAAACCTCTCTGCAACACAAGGAGACATTGTGGCCATTACGATCTAGGGACGAGTGTCACAACATCGACCTACTGTAGTTTCCCTCAGAGGTCTCCGATCCCAGTACTGACCAGGGTCACTGTTAGTTTCTGGCATCTGGCTAGAAAAAAGGGCAATAGTGCATTGTTTTAATCTAGAAGATAAACCACATACTTTCCTACAACAGTTGTTGAGTTTTAAATCTGAATCTTTCACTTTGCATTTCTGTTTGCAAAATGTCACCCTAGCTTTTACTGCATTCATGGTCACTTAAGTATATGAAAAGAAATATATCTCCTGAAAGCAAGGTTAACCTCCCACACCCCTAGAATGTTAGTAAACATTGTAGATACCAGAGGTTTTATCTGCTACTCACATATTCTACGAAAGGTATTAATTAATTTTGTATAAATGTTTTAATAAACAGTAATGCAGACCACTTGTTTATTTTGGGTTATTGTGTTTTATGTTTTAGTGTGCAAAACTGCAGGAAGCAACACAATTTTGGGCACAATTTTTATTAAAGATTTCTATTACTATAAAACAAATGGCATGGTTGTGCAGTGGTTAGCGTTGCTGTCTTCCAGTGGATTCAATTCCAGACTCGGAGTCCTGTCTGTGTGGAGTTTGTATGTTCTTACTGTGTTTATGTGGGTTTTCCTCCGGGTGTTCCGATTTCCTCCCAGAGCCCAAAAACATATTGGTCGGTTAATTGGTTTCTGGTAAAATTGGTCCTACTGTAGGAGTAAGTGTGTGCAGCCGAAGTGTGTTTGTGTGTGCCCTGTGATGGACTGGAGTTCCATCCACAGTGTACCCCGCATTGTGCCCGTTGCTTGCCAGCATCAGCGCCTGAAGTCCTTACCCTCATTTGATGAAGCAGTTAATAATTAAAAATAATAAATAATAAACAATTGAGTCATAAAATATATTCTTTTAACAGAAATACATATAGAAATAGACTATACTGATTAAGGTATTCACCCAAGAATTCTACAAAGAATTCAGACACTATTATTCAACCTGTCATGTTACAATGGTTCTAGGTGTGGCAGTGTGCATGTCTGTCTTAGTCTCTGTGTGCCTTTCCTCTGATGGACTGGCGTACCACCAGATACTGTTACATCTGCCCTGCTGTGAGGTGGCGGGGTATATGCAGCTGTAGTGGCCATAGGCTCAGCCTCCACCCTCCTGCCTGCCCTGCACTGACTGCCGAGGAGACAGGATATTCAGGTCACTGGGCTACAGTGAGAAGTCACACAGCATCCGGGTTATTTAAGCTCTACTTAGCTTCTTCACGCCAATCAGGCATTGCGTCATTCCCAAACCACCACCCGGTGTTTCCCAGCAGAGTCTTCCTCCCTGCTTTTTGCCATTTCCTGTTTCCCTGTCTGCCTGGACTTTCCCTGTTGGGAAGCCAGGGCTTCCTGACACACTCAGGCTGGGATCCCCATCTGTGGCTGTGTTTTCCAGAACTGATCCGGTTTGCTGATTGTGGTGGCGGTAAGGCCAGGGTCTCTTACCAGTCCTGGTCCAGGTGCACCATCGGTAAATCTGCTTTGGCCTGTTCCTTGCGCACTCTTGGTTCTCTGCCCCAACGGCCCCTTCAGCTCTACTCTGCACTCTGGAATACAGTACGGCTCCACACCTTGGTGGTTCTCCCCGTCTTCTCCTTTTTCTTCAGGAACTCGGCTCTGGTTCCAGTCTTCAGTGGGTGCACTGTTGGGCCCAGTCCAGGGCACCTTCTGTAGTCTACCTAACCTGACAGACTGTGCTTAGCCTGGTCTCTGGAGTGGATCCCCCTAAGAGCTGCTCCCTGCTCAGCCTAGCTCCTCCTGCAGACCCATCCGCCCGGCCCTCTCCCTGGACTGTGTCACCCTTGCTTTTGGGTTGGTAACACCTCCTTGCCCGCCCCCTGCCATTCTGGTGGGCGGTGTGCTGCATATCAATCATAGTAAAGGAGGCAATTACATGTATTCAATAAGTAGCAGATTTTTCAGCATTCAGTCTGTTGAGATTAGAGTCTTTGAGTGAAGGCAATGCATATCGTGGAAGATCTATACATTTGGAGTGTGGCTCAGGGGACCTACACACACAAAAGTCTGATGGTAGCTGTGACTGAGGTCCAGGAAGTTTTTGGCTTTATTTTAAAGATATTTTCACACAAAAAGCTTCAATAAAGTAAAAAAGATTTCCAGAAAACTACTCCCTAGTGACACACCCTTATACACAGAACCAAATTGTTTACCCTGTATGAAAATGCACATTCCAAACATTCCATTTTCAGTTATACAGTCAGTGTCCATTACACACTTGCTGAAACCAATTTGTAAACCTCTTGCGGTGGCCTCTACTGGTAGTCCAATGGTTACTACAATATGTTGAGTGGGACAACCTGCCACAATACCATAAATGACAGGTAAAAATCAGAGGTCCACACTGTATAGCAAAGGAAGAAAAAAACACAATGCTTTGGCTTTGGAGCTTTCTTCTGATAGGAGGGCTCAGGTAAGCTCATACCTGAAGAAGGCTCCACAATGTGAAATGTGTTTCTTTTATGTTTTCTAAACAGACAGGAATGACACTGTGTCAAACACTCACATTCAATTTTTTTAGTGAATTTACAGAGCCATTAATTTCTAGTTGGAAACAATTAACTTAATGTAAATAACACAAAGCCTAAAGCTCAGCCCCTGACTCAATTCTGATTAATTCTAATCACTAATCTTTTACTTTTTTAGGTCATTTAAGGTCACATACGGGGTGGAGCGGTGACTCTGTGGCTAAGGATCTGCACCTGTGGCTGGAAGGTTGCTGGTTCCAATCCCACAGCCGACAGAGGTATCCTACTCTGTTGGAGCCCTGAGCAAGGCCCTTAACCCCAACTGCTCCAGGGGCGCCATATAAAATGGCTGACCCTGTGCTCTGACCCCTTGCTTCTCTCTCCATGTCTGTGTGTCTGTGTCTTATGGAGAGCAGGTTGGGGTATGCGAAAAGACAAATTACTAATGCAAGAAATTGTATAGGGCTAATAAAGTGATCTTATACTGTACCTCTAAGCTTGATTAGTGAGGACCTTATTTGGACCAAAAACTGGAAGATACAGGGGTATTCCAGGATCAGAGGATTGTGAGACATTTAAGAAAGCCAAGTTGTTTGCTGTAAGTCATGGTGGAAGATTTGCTGGCATCTTTTCTTTGTATTTGACTGCTGGATTATTAAAGGTCCCATGAAACATTTTGTAAAGAGTCGGGATGTTAACTCAGGTATCCTGGTTTAGTTCCACTCTGTGTTTGAACAATCTGGCTTAACCAGTTTTCCCCCTTCATGCAGCTGGTGAAACAGTTTCATTTTACAGCCTGATCTGCTGTGTAGTGGGGTTGGTGTGTAATGGATGCCTTGTAGTGCCAAAGTGGTGTATTAAGTGGGTTGCCTGCTTCTGTACATGTACAACACATTTGAATCCTTTGGGAAAATAAATGATGTACATTGATAATGCCTTTTTAAAAATGTCTCAGAAATCCCACCACTTTTCTACTTTTTTAGGTTGTTTCTTGATTGTACTTTCAGTACATAAGCCTTCTTTTCAGAAATACAGTATCTAAAAAATGGTGGTATCAGTAGTAACGATATGCAGTATCATTCGTATTACGACTTTACAGGAGTCACGAAACAGGGGATTAATCTATTTTTTATTGTTTTTAGAAATTCTGTTTTTTTGTTATTTCGGAGCATTCTCGGAGTTAGCTAACAATAAAAAAGTTTAGCCACTCCTGTTTGTGGAGAGGTCCTTCAAACAATTTTATTCAATGAAATAACATCAATATAATATTTGCAATAATTACAGAGCACACACATAGGCCATAACTACCAATAACTCCATGCCCCACCTCTGACCCCTTCAGTCACACAAAGCTTTAATAGAGCCAATACGTGTATCAGCTGCTGTGCGTGCTTATACAGTAAATATATAGTCTTTGCACTGTATATAACCAGTGTTGTAGTTGACATTAAAAAAAGTTAATTATTACTTAAGAGAATTGTGTTTATATTTCAGACTTTACAAAGTTTTTTGCATAATGCTTTTTTATTTCAAAAGACATTCAATATTACCTTTCAAAAAGAACAAATATTACTAATCATTTCTAAAATAATTGATTATAACTTCTGCATATAAAGTACAGCTGTTTTCATTTTTACAACATTATCATTATTTGCTGTTAACATTGGTCACTGAAGGCTGTTATGTGAAAAAAATACTGATATGTGTGCAAGGTTGTTAAATTATAAATGGATTTAAAGTTTACAGAAAAAATTGCTCTTTTCTCAGATGGTGCAGACAAGATGATTTATTTTGATTTAAAAAAAAGAAAATGATAAAGAGTTAATAGAGTCGTCCTGTAGGTACACGAGGCAAGCAAATGTAAGCCTGTGGTGTCCTGCTGAGGTTAATGGGATTACCATCCAGTCTGACATCCTCAAGGGCTTTGCGGATATAATTGACATTTTTCAAATTGCAGAATGTGTCTTCGTGCATCATTTGAATGTTGTTGTTCTGAAAAGGATAAGTTAAAATAATAAAGCAAAAGATTAACAAGGAGTACTCATCTCAATTTCCTTTCTATAACACCCTACTTTTTGGTGGGAAGTCTGAACTACTGTATAGGCACTACAGTGTTTTTGACATGGATCTCATCAAAGTCTTTATAACAGGTTTTAAATCTAACACTATTGGCAAAATTAATTCTATAAGAAGCACACTTCATCAAATTGATTCATCAAATCAATTAATCGAATCAATTGATTCATCAAATCGATTCATCATGAAGTACTTAAGATCCTCTTTCCAACCCAGCTGTCATATTAAAGGGGAATTGCAACGCTATTTCAGGGTTATAAAGAGTAATAAATGATGAGCGCACTTCAAACCACAATGAAATTTTGAAGTATATGGTAATGCGTACAACCTCCAATTTACATCACAACAGAGACAAAGTTTTAAATGTACGCGTAGTGTCATATTGCCATAATTGTCTGTGATTCAGAACTAGGTAGCAAAACATCCAATGATGCAAAAGTGGCCCTATTACATTGTAAACATTCTTTAGACCAAGTGAATTTTGCCACTATATTAATAGGAAGCTTACTTTTAAGTATTGTAAAAAATGAGCAACCTGCCAACCCACGAAAATACACAGATAGTAATTAACAACATTTTCATTTGCTTACAGTGACTAGTGAGCAGAAAGGTCTGCTTTCATGTTTTAATGTACACACTTTACACACACACACAGCAATTTTGCATCTGCCAGCAACAACTTGATAGCCATACAGTACTTCACAAAGTTAATGATTTTACACTTAATTTGAAATTTGTAAAATGTTGTGATACCGCAAATTAATTTATTTTGTTACTGAGATTCAATAACTGGTCTGAGAAAGTGGTACTGCAGTTCTCCTTTAAAATACTAATAAACTATTATAATAGTTCAGTTGTTTTATACCGGCATGGAGTGAAATCTACTACATCCAGTATGTGTCCATGCTACAGTATGTGAAAGCACTGTAGATGTGGCTAGGATAGTATTCAAGAGTTAGGATTCTGGGGGCAGACAGAAACATTTGACTGTATGTAAATAGTTATTGTATTCCTTGGTTCTGCATAACTGTAATGTAAATTGTCACTTATCCTTGTTTTATGTAATATCTTCAGTGTGTTTCAGTGTGTAGGAAATACTGGAGATTCCAGTTTAGCAGTTTTACTGAGGCACTTTGACACCTTAGGGACTGGACTGTTTTAGACAGTAATGCATTGTAATGCAGCTAAGCTGGTGTGCAGGGATTTTTCTGAGAAAGAGACTGGTAGCTCTGAGTTGCATTTGATTTTCTACAATTAGCATGAAAAGCCCTCATGTTACTCTGATGTTGCAGCCTCTATGGGATATAATATTTGAACGCCTTTCTGAGTCTGAAGATTCCAGTAGTTATACAGTATGTGTGTGAAGTGTGTATTACTGGTGAAATAAAAAGCATTTACCATTGCTTTGAGTTAAAGTTTGATGTGCCGCTGTTCTACAATGTAAATGCTGGGCAATGCTATTCTCAGACTATTTGAATTCTGGCATTCTTGGGTGTGATGGAGTGTGCTGTCTTGTGAAAGCTGTGACCACTCTTCTTCTCATCATAGGATTTTGAGTAAGGAATGCCAAACATTTTAAATCCAATCAACTCAATATTATTAAGGGAATCTGTACAGATATGATACATTATTAAAAAATAATTAATCTTTTACTTAAAAGTTACAGGTAAGCAAGGAGGTGTGAAGAATAACTTGAGCAAACCTGAAAACACCTACCTGGAGGTGAAGAGACCGCAGAGGTTCAGGCAGAGGAAGGGGAATGTGGTTCAGGTTGTTGTCAGTAAGGTACAGATACATTAGATTATGCATATCCTAAAAAAACAAATCAAGTCTGTTACTGGAGGAAATTGCATAGATATTGCCATAGCTATTGTAAACACACACCTACAGTATTCTGCTGTTTAGTAATATATTAAGACACTCAAGCAACAAATAGAATTCTTCACCTCCTTCAGCAGTTAAAACATTATAAACAAGCACTAAGCAATGCAGGACATCATATTGTGCAGAGAATGCTGGATGAACTAACATTAACACAACGTTATGTAAAGAAAGTGTAATTATTTTCCCCCTATAATTAAAAGTGCTTGCTTTTCTGAATAAACCATGGTGCAAAGAATAGTTATATAAGTTGAAATGGCATATTTTCTCATGTTATTTTTTAGTACTTTATTAAATATATCATGTTCAGTAGAAATCTATGAAGAAAAGATATATTAACATACTACATTTCTTTATATTGTAACGCAACGGGGGCTCAGGAGGGCGCCCTTGCCGCATCTGGTCGGCCCCATCCCGACTGGAGGCTCGAACCCAGGACTTCCGCGTCTCTCTGCAGCGACCTAGCCCCGTGAGCTAAAGAGAGATCTCTCTACAGCCCAGTAGCTGTAGTCCTGCTATCACAGGGAAGGGCGGTGACGTCACCTGCTCTGGTACGCCGGCTCTTACACACAGTGCTTGTCGGCCATAAGCGTTACACTCTCCCCCGCTTAAATCGCCGTGCCCGGCGAAGGGCTATCCCATCCCACTACTGACACCAGTGTAACGCAACGGGGGCTCAGGCGGGCGCCCTTGCCGCATCTGGTCAGCCCCATCCCAACTGGAGGCTCAAACCTGGGACTCCCGCGTCTCTCTGCAGCGACCCAGCCCCGTGAGCTAAAGAGCCCCGTTCGAGCCTCCAGTCGGGATGGGGCCGACCAGATGCGGCAAGGGCGCCCGCCTGAGCCCCCGTTGCGTTACAATATTTTATTAGCTTATTGCTACCAAGAGCTACTATTCTCTAAAATGTAATCAAAATGTAGTAAACAAAGATAAGACTACATTTTCCATATGGTGTTGTTCTATGTCTGTAAAGATCATTTCTAACTTAACTCTCTGATAACATGAGAAATGTTTTGGCCACATGCTGTAGACAAATATGCATATACTCTACCTTTGGCAAACACTCTTCAAACCCTTTAAAATTTGAAACAGAACCCAACAAAGCATTTTTTCAGTGATGAATGCTACAATAATAAAAAATGAGGAATTCTTGAGAATCATTCAGATGTGCAAATGTTTTTGATTGGCTTGTTGAATTAACGCGTTAGATTCTTTTAGGAAGAGTCAGTAAACTAGGAAGCTAGAAAGTACAACTCAGAATGTTCTATCTGCAGACATCTTATAGAGTTTATTCCTTTGACTTTCCTCACTGAGTAGCACTTGCACATTCAAAACTGTTGCAAAAGGGATTATCTGAGATTGCTTAGAGAAAAAACAAAAAAAACATACTAAATTCAAGTTATTTTAATAGATTGAGACATAATCGCAAGATTGTGTTTTTCAAGTAGTGGAAAGGGAAATTGCAGTCATGAATAAAATACCTGCCAACACCGGTTTTGTCCTTGTTTTGGGTAATATCTCACCTTGAAGGCCTCATTCTTGATTCCATTGCTCCCCAGCTTATTGTGGCTGACGTCAATCAGGGTCATGGTACTGGGCAGCTCAGGCAGCTGGCGGATCTTGTTCTCCCTCACCACCAGTTCCTCCAACTGAGGCAGGCTCCTGAATGCATCCTCATCAATCTCAGAAATCTGATTGCTCGTCAGGTCAATCCTCTTCATCTTGTCTACAAACAACAACCAGCTCTGAGTAATATTCACACCCATTCCGAGTGTGACACAATCACAACTTACAAGTTTAAACCATTGTCACATTTCTTAATTTACACAAATATGATTGGTAAGCTAATTAAAAAAGAATATGTTTTGAATTCACCTTAGAAAGTGGCCATTTTATATGAATTATTAAGAATGTTATTAATTTAATGAATATACACTGTAAGTATCCTACTTATTATACTATGTGCTGTAGAGAGTACAAGTTTTGACATTGTAAATGCACTTCTTAGGGTAATGTTTAATTGGGAAATGGAATGAACTCTAAAATGTAACAGAACATCAGAAGTTAGATCTAAAGTAGAAGTGCTTTTTAACAATCAACTGATATTAAACAATGCAAATAAACAAAACATAAACATTTTCAGTGGGCATTAACCAAGGTAGGAATGTAAGATAAGAATGTTTACAAACAAGAGAAAGCCATTTGACAAATCTAGCTCACTCAGATTTTCATTTCTATTTGATCCAATGATCTCATCCAGACATTTCTTGACAGAAGCCAGATCATCAGGATGATTAATATGGCTAAGTAGCTTGTTCCACATTTCCCCATCCAATTTTATAAATAAATATGTCCTGTTCTTATGAACATAGTTTCCACTTGTATATCTGGTTTGTGTAATAATGTTTATTCTGAAGTCCACTGAGTTAACTAAGTCAATGTCCTTTTAGGGTTTAAAGTATCTTAATTGTTGATGGTCTTCTCTCATAGTTGGTTGTAGAGCAGAAATATATTTTTTTGTTTCTTGGTATTGAGAAGTACACATAATACGGTGAAACTAGTCTGTCATACAATTTTAACATCCCCTTGATATGATTTTTACACTTCTGAATATACAGTGCCTTGCGAATGTATTCGGCCCCCTTGAACTTTTCAACCTTTTGCCACATTTCAGGCTTCAAACATAAAGATATAATTTTTTTATTTTATGTGAAGAATCACCAACAAGTGGGACACAATT